CACCCAAAAATATCATTTGGTGTATTTAAAAAAAACATTTTTTTATTATTATTTGGCATAAGGAATGAAATAAATGCCTTACCTTTTTTTTTTTGTTTTAAAAGCCCCCAGCCTCGCAACTCACATCAATAGATGATAAAAGGGGAGTGAGGGTGAGTGGCGGGGTCCCCGCGCAGCTGCGCTCCCCTCATGGGCTCATCCGCCTCCCGGCGCTGCTGTTTGAAAATGGCGCCAAGGGCTCGAGCCAGCCCGAGCTGCGTCTGACACCGGCCACGCGAAAAAAAAATTAAAAAAAATGAAAACGGGAGAATTAACTTTTTTCACCGACCTCTCCCAGCGCGCCTTCGTGTAGGTCACTGATCCCGACTGGTTTCTTTTCAGAACTTCGCTTCTAGGATTTTTAATAATTTTTTTGTTTAATTAAAATAACCGTTATCCCCCCCCCTCCTCTACCGCGGTGCAGGACGGGACGCGACGCGACGCAGGCGAAGGCTGTTGTTTTTTTTCAAACTCCCAGTCAGGGCGGCTGAGTGTGTTTCTGTCTCCCCATGGCGGCCGAGAAGCGCTGTTGCACGGTCCTCTTTAAAAACCTTTTCTCCTACAGAGTGCAACGTGCAGCGTTTTTGTCTTCGGTAGATCTACCTCCCTCTCGCCTTATAAAGCACCTTAAGACGGGACAAGTCTTTAGGTGTGCCTCTAAGCTAAAAAAAATCATGGAAATCGGCCATACATACACGCTTTATTTATCTGATAGTTTTTTTGCCCTTTACCAGGGAGAATCCTAAGAATTGGTACAAAGGAGAAGAGATGAGCACTGGTTCTAAAATCTCATCTGCAAGGCATCTTGAAGGACCAATTCAAGTTTCAGCGTCAACAATAAGCGAAGACAGTATTTTCACGGCACTCAAAACTCATAGCGCAAGATACCCCTTCCCTCAGCAATAAAACCTCATTCTATCAAACCTTCATATCACTACTGAACCTGAAGCAGTCTGAGGAGTGAACTTTCTTGCAGACTTTTTATTACAAATCAAAGATTCGTTTATAACGTTTACAAAAACGAATATATATACATCCATCCGAGAAAAATAATACAAGTATGTCAGAAAAAGATTAAACCCTACGTATTTGTATGCATTTGTCTCAGAGAATTGTCACTTCAACGCACAAGACGGAAGTTTAAAATGTGAAATGTATAAAAAATAAAACAAGTAAAAATATAAATAATTATACGTTTCTGAAGGGAAAAACAACAAATATAAGTCAAAGCATAACGTAATCACCAATCACTTATGAAATTCATTCTGTGTCCTGAAAGTCTTATAAATTTATTCCGGTTATAAATACATCATCAACAGACATCCCAGCTTTGAAAAATTGATTTCGAGGGGTCGTCCCTCCCGTGAAAACTTGCGGACCGGGGGGGTGCCTTTGAAAAAAAATTAAAAGCTATATAATGAAATAATTCGCTGATAGATACTATAATAATATATGCAATACACTGTAGATACAATAAACTCACCAGTCCAGTTGAATGATCTCACTTTCTTTGCAAACTTTCATTGTACAGAGATGAGGCTTGTTTAGCAGATTTCAGCAGATTCTCAGATGGCTCAAGGTCGTATTATATAATTAAATAAATTGCTGATGATTGTTCGGGCCCGGGGTGTCGCCAACAGAAAAAAATGGGAGCAGGGGGGAGACACTGATTTCCGGGAGACTTGGGATGTCTGCATCAGTGGGAGCCCCCATTACAAAGGGTGGCGGATCATTCCACAGTATAGTGGCCTTTGTCACACTGAGCAGGGCCTGGTCTCACCACATCTCAGTACCTGTCTGACTTACTATATTCCTTCTCCCCACCTCGCAACCTTTGTTCGTCTGACTCTGGTCTCCTGTCCTGCCCCCGGGCACGTCTACATATAAGGGGTGACAGGGCCTTCTCCTGCTGCGCCCCAGAGCTCTGGAATTCTATCCCTAAGGATATCAGAGTCCCCTTCCCTGAGCACATTCAAATCAAGACTCAAACCCTGCCTCTTCAGAAGGGTTTTTCTGTTTCTGCCTCTTTGGTTTACTACTGTACTGGAAACCATTATTATAATTGCGTAATTCTGCGGTCTCCTCTCATTGTGTGCTTTTTTCTTCTTACTATAAAACTCTTTGACTAGCCACTTTTAAAGGTGCTTAACTTTTAGCATACAAGTTTTCTATTATTAATTATCTCAGAAGCTACGCAGGGCTGGGCCTGCTTAGTACTGGGAAAAGACACCTCTGAGGCACAGATGTCCAGTCCTGGTCTTGGAGGGCCGGTGTGTCTGCAGGTTTTGAAATTCTCTATGAAGAAGCGGCAGTCGAAGAGCCTGGAGAAGCTGTTAAATTGGTCCCAACCAGCTTGATTAGCTCAGTAAGATGGGAGCTGGTAGGAAGGGCAGCAGACACACTGGCCTCCAGCAGCAGGGTTGGACTGTCCTGCTCTTAGAAAAGCCAGGGTGTTGCTATAAGGAGTGCTGGTGAACCAGTTAGTCCTCTGCCTCAGAATTGTTCGACCATTACCCCAGTATGGTGACAGGACACACAGTGCTATGGAGTGTGTGACTTCGATTTTACTTGCAGTCATACACTGATGCAACTCTTCACTTTCTCCTGGCTAAATTCCCCTGTGCGCTGCTATAATCTGCCGTGCTGTATTGAAGACTATTAGCACAGATTGGCTGCCCCGTGTCACCCGTTTCGGTGTAGCATTTCAGTGCGGGATGAAGAGGGCCCCATCCTATGTAAACCTCTTTTGGATGAAAAACACAACACAAATGCAAGAAATTCTGATGCAATTTGACCATCTCTTCACTTGAGGCTGAACATTCTATGGGTGTGTCTGCCACATGTTTAGAGAAGGATACTGAGGAACTTATACACCTAAAGTCATGTTTCTTACTTTCACCACGTGCCGTGTATGATACCTCATGAGGCTGGAGGTTGGGGTAGCAGATAGGGGTTCTGGGCTTGTATCTAGAAGAGTACTCGTCCACTTCATTTGTTCAGATTGCTCCAGTACAAATGCCCTGCTGAACAGTTACTTCCCAGAGCATGACTGTAAATGAGAATTTCTCATCAATGGAGAGTATGTCCCAGCAACCTGCACATAGCACTTGGCAGATGTGAAAGTTTAATTTCTATTGCTTGCCATTTGTGCTGTCCTACCCCTGAACATTGTGTCAGTCTTGTTTCTTCAAACCTAGTGTTCTATTTTTTGATGCAGTCCATAATCCATTACGTTTCTAGTGATGTTTTTTTTAAGTTTGGTCACAGATTCTAGGGTTACAACCCGATCCACCCTTCAACAGCAGAGCTCTGTACACTGGCTTTTGGCCTATAAGTATGCTGGTCATGCTGCTTGAGCCCTATGTACACATCCCAGATGGATTCAGCCCCCAACATTTTTTTTTTCATTGTGTTGCCTCAGATTCTAAATTTGAAATAGATTGAAATAGGATTTTCTGGCACTGATCTTCAAAGTATTGAGTACGATGTCAAAACAAAGTTTCCCGAAGCTTTCCACAATTTACTAAAAATGGAAAAAAAAAACCCAGAAATGATTAAATTTAACACGTATTCACACCCCTTGTAATTGCAGACTCCAATTTGCCCTCCGAAGTGAGACGATGTGCTGATCGACTCCACCTGTGTAAGAAATTAGTAGATCACCATTCTTTCTGTAAGGTCCTGCCGCATGGAAGAGACTTTCCAAAATGGACTCAAAATGGAGATGGAAGAGCATTCCAAGCAAACAAGTCAGAGATACGATTACAGAGAGGCGCAGATCTGGGGAAGGGTACAAAACCATTGCCAAGGTGCTGAACATCACTCTGAAGAGAGTGCAGTCAATTGAACAGCAGTGGAAGAAGTATGAATCCACAGCCACACTGCCTCAGGCCGCTCAGACTGCCCCCCCAAACTTACAGTAGTTTTCAGACAAGAAGGGCACTTACCAGAGAAACCGTCTGTGACACGGACCGAGCTACAGAGGTCAGCGGCTGTGATGGAAGATAACGTACGTGGGTCAACAATCTCTCAGGCTCTCCACAAAAAGGCCTTTATGGGAAGGTTGCAGAGATGCAACCCTGGCTGAGAAGAAAAACATCCTCGCCCTCAAGGAGCGTGCAAAACGCCACCGAGAAAATACTGCAGGGACGTGGCAGAAAGTCTTATGGTCTGACGAGACCAAAGTGCGATGTGTGGTGCAAATCAAATACTGCACAGCAAGCCAGGGAACCCCCTCCCCACCGTGAAGTGTGGTGGTGGGAGCATCATGTTATGGGGATGCTTTTCAGCGGCAGGGACTGGCACTCTCGCCAAGATTGACCAGAAGGTGAATAGTCCACATGGTCCCCGAGTGGGGAGGATGTTTGTCTTTCAACAGGACAATGAGCCAAAGCACACTGCAAGAGTAACACTCGAGTGGCTTAAAATGAAGACAAGATGTCCCCGAGTGGCCCAGATTTTCAATGGGATTAGGGTCAGGACTTTGAAGTCCTGACCCTAATCCCATTGAAAATCTGTGGCAAAACCTCAGACTTGCTGTCCATTGCTGCTCCCCATTTAACCCGACCCACCTTGAGCAATTTTGCAAGGAGGAATGGGCAAATGTTGCTCGATCTCGGTGTACAAATTGAGACTTACCCAAAAAGACTGCTGGCTGTAACCGCTGCCAGGAGAGGTTCTACTAAGTATTGACCGGGGGATGAGCACTTATTAAATGATGCTATTAAATGATGTTATTTTTAATTTATGGTTGACCATTATCTTTCTTTTTTGGGGGAGACTCTGTGAAGATAAATGTGTGTCTCACGTAAAAATTCCCATTCTAAAAAAAAACAGAATTCTAGGCTTTTATTCTTAAGTGTGAAAAACAGGATGGGGGCTGAATACGTTTTCAAGGCCCTGTATTGGGTACTTTCAATTTGACTAAACCTAAAGTAGCCATATACATATAGTAGTCAGTAGCAGATACAATACGATGATTTTTATTCATATATTTAAAAGGTATATTTTTTCACAGAAACATGAGACACTTGGCGTTAATTGTACAAGCATGAAATACTCAGAGGAATGAATATAGTTTTTGTTGTTTGCATCTTACAAGTCCATAAAAATACTTTATTTTTCACAATTACTATATACAAGTTCCAAACAGTGAATGTAACCTTGGAAGGCAGTCATCTGCGAACTCTTGCTGCATGTCCTGTCTCCCGTCTTGCTGTTGCCTGTTTCACTATGTCTTCTCTCAGCTCGCCTGTCTCCGCTTACTGCTTCTCTTCTCCTGTCGCCTCCCTCAGTGTCACCTCTCTTACTGTCCTCTGTCTATTCTCACCACCCCCGTCTCTCCTTCTCACTGCTCATGCGATAAGATCTCTACACACACACACACAAACTTCAAAAATGCTGCAGGATTTTCCAGCCAAAATTCCTTTGTCCACATGAGGCCTGCAGGATACCTCTTCAAGAATACATAAGGAGTTTCTGGACCCAAAATCTTACAGAAGTTTTAGAATTTCCTCGAGCTTAGTCTCACACCCCCTGCCACCCAGTGCAGTTCTCATCAGCACGGTGACTCGGCCCTGCCATACTGAGGGTGATGTTGCCTGCAAAGCTGAGGAATGCCCTGGTCGGCTACAGTCTGCCACGCCTCTGTGGAGCTCAGCTGTGCACAAGGCTGCAGCTTGGAGAATCCCTGCCGCTGAGCACAAAGCCCAGGCTGGAACTAAGCCTGACTTTAAGCCTAACGTTTCACTGTGTTGGGAGTATAATATTAAACTGTGCATTAGACTGCGTGTACATCTGTGTCTTTTATTGTCTGTGTTATCTATATACTGCGTTTGAGTTTGTCAAAAGCAACGTTACTTATATTGTTACACGCATAATGTGCTTGGCAGGATTAGCCTTAGGTTGATTGGCTCAAACTGAAAGTGCTGCTTCCAAGGGCTGCAGAAAGAACCACTTGTATATTTACCCTTATTTTTACAATTTTTGACACTAAAAAGATTGGCTTGAAGCCCAATACCAAAGGAAATTCCACCTTCTTTTAATGACAAAGTAGCTTCCTCTTGGCTTCCAGCAGATTACTTTGTCCAAATTCACTGTGTACCCACTTGAGGTCCTATTACTAGTTTCTCTGCCACAATTTATGACTTTTATTCTTATACAGAATTAAATATAGAGATAAATGTCAATTTTCAGCTTTTGCACAAGTTACATCTAAGCCCAGATTTGGAAAAGCCAGTAGTTGTTCTGATGTGGTCATTTCTTGTCTTTCCACTCACTCTCTCACGTAGTGCCACTTAAGTCTTTCACTGCATATTGCTAAAGCATTTTCTTCCAAGATGGGTTTACACCACTTGGAAAATAAAACTGTAAACTACAACAAAATATTAAAGTTTAGGCGGCATGGCATCATAAATTAGCATTCTGAAAAAGTGGCAAAACCGAATTGTGTCATTTTCTTATAAAAGGGAAACACAGGTGTGAAGGTATGTGATGCACAATTCTAGATGATCCGGTTTCAATGCACGCTCTCTGTTGCTAATTCTTTGGCTATAAGTCCGGCTAGGATGCCCCCACCTCCAGACCAGTCTTGCTGTTTGAATGGGTAAATGTCTCCTCATCTGTTCTCTGTGGGGCCACTCTCTCGCCCACCTGTCCATCATCCAGTGATCGGCTGTGCTTCCATCTTTTCTGTTCTATAACTGGCTTAGCACATATCCTATCAGCTCTGTTAGGCTACAAAGCCAGACTGTGCATCTGAGTGGGTGGAGTCGGTTAGTTAAGCTTCTTTCAGCCGGACTGGACAGGTTTCCAGGCTGCTTTCTTCTAATTGGCTGCTGCCCCTCTTGAGGTTCTCTGAGTGGCCATCGGCAAGTGTGCTCTTCATTCTGGTCTCTGTTGGGTTGGGCTAGCGTCTTCTCCCCGGCACCGACTGGCTACATCCCGGGGTGCTGCGGGGTGAACGAAGGGGGGGTGGGCACACTGATGGCAAGAGAGAGTGGGCTTCCCTGGGGAGGCACACAGCCGGACATCCCCACTGGTGAAGAGCCAGCTGGCGCAACACTGGAGAGGGGGAGAGGAGAGACAGAACAACCGCGCAAGTTAACTTGACCGATGCACCACTGACATCACTTCCACCTCAAAACACAGCAAGAACCTGAGCTGACTACCGTTGCTTTTGTGACGAAGGGGAGATGCTACTTTGGAACCAGCATTAGCACTCCGACACTGAGCAGCATGTTTATATCTACCGCATGTACGGTGAACAGTGGTGTACACAATGCGTGTTTGTACAGTTTGTATAGCAGAAGCCCGACCTGACGGTGTACCCAGTTAGATGAGGGGGGTCGGTCACTCCTGTGACAAACAGCTTCTTGGGCGGGCCATCTGATTCCACTCCACCTGGCAGAGAGAGCAGGAAAAACATAAAGAACAATGATATCAGGGTGGTGTTTTGTAGTCGCTGCCTCAGAGCTCTTAGGGCTGGATTTAATTCTAGTCTAGGAAGACATCTCTGAGGTAGTGTGAGTGCTCTCTCCCTTGTCCTTGTGGGTTGTTGCCACATGCACTGCTTTCCTTCCACCTTCCAAAAGACATGCTAGTTGCTAGTGTGACCGTCGCGGTTCCGCATGGGCTCGTGCCCTCCGCCACCCGTTCCGTCCTGCAGCACCTGGGGCGCGAACCCGGGTCTCCGGCGTAACGCAACGGGGAACCAGCCGGGTGAGCTAAAGGAGACCCCCCTCAGCCCAGGCAGCGGAGGTCCCTGCTACGCGCAGGGAGGGCGCTGACGTCACTGTATCTGAACTAGCCCCGCTACACTAGTGTGCACTGCCTCTTTCAAAGCAACCCTTCATGAGGGAAAGGCCATGTTTTCCGCAAAAAAGGAAGACATAAGGAAGCGAGTGCAAAGGTACCTCGACACTGCTCATGTCACAAAATGATCCTAGTATATTGCTATCTTGAGCTGAAATATCCTACATCTCATCCAGGGTGTAATCACACTTTGTGCCCTCTGCTTCCTGGACAGACATCAGGCTCCCTGTGACTATTAGCAGGAATATCTGGCTTTACGATAATGGGCAAAGTGAAATCAGAATGGTGTATAGAGATTTTCACTTTGAATTTCACAGACTATTAAAACAAACATGGGAGAGTGAAAGAAGGTAAGACAAAGAGAGATAGGGAGGGAGAGACAGACTGACCTTTCCTCTTAAGTGGAGTGAGGACGGGCCATCGCACTGCTGGACTGACACTCCCCCTGCTGGGTAGGACAGGGATAACAATTATCATCATTATTAAGGACACTGGTAAAGCTAATATTAATTTAACTGTCATCCAGTAATGTGAAATACACATCTGAATGCACCTAAGACTCTGGGTTTATCAACACAGCGGCATTCAGAAAAGGTATTCTGTTCATTCTTATGTCATAGAACAGTTCTAAATACTAGCATTTAGGTAAAGATCACTTCCCCCATGGAAAATGGAACCATCCATCTCCCCTCTAAGTCCATTGAGGTCTGTGTTGCCTCAGGAGAAGGGGAGCTTTAAAACTAGAAAGAAAACCTTCAACATTTATTTGTAAGTTGCTACTTACTAGCTATCACATTAATTTTTAAAAATAAATAACTGTTCTTCTTGGAAGAGCAAATAAGAGGCAGAACCTACTTTTTGAATCTTCTTGTTGGGCTGGGGGAGGAATTGGGTGTGATACCACTGTCAAGAGAGTGGAGGCCCTGAGAAGAGAGGGTGAATGATACCTACTGAGGTACTGACAGTGCAGGTTCCCGTTTCCTTTAGTGTAGATGTTAGTACCTACAGGTACACCTTACACTGAGACAGCTGGCTGAATTCTTTTCATACCGATGCACACACTAATACACTAACTGGTTGAAACACTTGCTGACACACTGATGGGGACTAACGGAGTGACAAACTGATCCACGAATACATTGACTGGCAGATACAGTGACATACTGACAACTGAAACACTGATTGACATAGTAAAACACCGATATAACGACTGACACTGACTCACTGTCTCACTCACTAACAATGACACATTGAGTTACTGTCACACTGACTGGTTTCCGGTTGCTCAACTCACCAGGATCCTGTGGTCCTCCCAGGGACATTCCGGGGGTGGAGGACCAACACTGCTGGGCGAAAAAGAGAGCAGTCCTTTTGTCATCCTCACAGACAGAAAGACTGCTTGGGGAAGTCTTCCCCGGTCAGCATGTGTGTACCTGTGTGATTATGAGCGTGTCTTAACTGATCACACTTGAGTCTGACACGATGGGCGAGTCGGTCAGTCACGGTTCAGGTCTCACCTCTGTCTGTGTATGGCTCCTCTGGGGTTCGGCTCCATACATTCGTCCTGGGACAGAGAGACACGCTGTGAGCACAGTGGGAGAGAAGACAGGGGGGAGGAGAAAGAGAAAGGAGGTAAAAGAGGAGCTGGGGTGGGAGAGGCCCATTAATTGAAACTGTCTGATAGAGGCAGTCCTGGCCGCCAAGAGATACACTTTCTCCTGCGACACAATAAGTGTGCCATAATAAACAGATTCTTTACTAAAACATTTAATTGCCCTCCTGCATTTCCCCACGCATGAGAGAGCTGGGACAAGGACACACAGCCCCGCTAGCCACCCAGAGTGTGACCCCCTGTGCCAGCCTAAGGACCACAGAGTAACACCACCAGAGAGGGGAGGGTTAGCTATTAAAGCTCACTGATTCAGTTTACATTACCTGTGATGAATGATATTTTTGGATTGTATTAAGTGATATTTATCAGTTATTTTACAAAGGCACACACGTACACTGAGAGGCATTAAAATATAACATGCGATTGGCTCCAATACTCATGTGTCGCTCCTGCAATTGATTACGCATCTCAATTGAATCTGTGTAGTGATTAAAACATATTTACCTTTCTGTCTAAAAAACATATACACCAGATGCGCTATTGGATATACTGTGCAGGTACTTTAGAAACACTGCTGTTGTTACTCATGCCACTAATGCAATAGGAATTGAACCCGGGAAGAGAAGCAGGAAAGGGGTCAGTTAGAGGAAAGCGAGAGAAGGGGGGAGAAGAGACAGACGGAGGGATAAAAAGAGGGATGGAGAGGCACTGATTGTCAGAAGGATACAGGAAGCTGTGCAAGGAGTAGAGCCAAGGGTCTGAGGCAAGCAGGGTGGGCACAGCCCACAGAAAAAATAAAATAAGCTACGACAGTCCCAGTGATTCAGGACAGACATTCTTTTTCACCTCTCTTATGTTTCTCTCCTCACTCTCTCACCTGCTTCGAGTGCTCCAGCAATCCGCAGACCAGCGGAAACGGCGAAAGGGGGAGGGCCTAGGAGGAGAAGACACGATTGGCTCACTAGGAATGTCTGGGCATGGGGGGGGGGACTGACAGCACGAGCAGCCTGAAAAATATTGAATCCCTGTACTAAAAGACAATAGAAGCACAGCCAAAAGACAGACTAGGAACATGCCAGACACCCTGCCAAACAAACAGCGCAGAAACACAGGTGCGCTGACAGACAGACAGACCAGGCCAGGCCAGTGTGTCTACGTGTAACAACCCCTGTAAAGCTACGTGGTGAGGAGACACTCAGAGACACAGATAGGAGTGCTGACAGAGAGCATGACTGACCAGTCCTGGGCAACCGAGATTGACAGACACACTGCTCCTCCGATAACGGGCCGTACTGCCAGAACTGAACACCGCCATCCCGTCACTGAGAGAAAGGGAGGAGGGAGGATGAGGAAGACAATAGAAGAAACAGGGGGATTGTCAGTGGAAGCAAAAAGGAGAGAGTATAATACTATTGAAATAATAATACTATTGAAAACGTTAAAGTTACATGTTTTGTACACACTTTAATTGCACCGAAGAACATCATTCGATTGATTAAATTACCTTAAAAATTCCCTCACCTGACGCCAGTGATCATGGGGGCGCTGTTGGACCGTCGCAGAGCCCCGCCTCCACTGCCAGCAGCTGCGCCTGCGCACTGGTCTACCTCCATCCGTTCCATCCCGTCTAGATGGGCCTCCGGGCTCGACTCAAGCCCTCTCGCCGACCCTTGCGCTCCCGAACCCGGCGAGGCGCACCAACTCTAGCCCGGTGAAAGCCTGACCCGCAGGCCTCACCTTCGACCGTCTCGGTCCAAACTGAACCGAAACCGCCGAATCAGCGGGACACTGTCCTCCTCCCTGCCCCACTATCGCATCTTCGGGGTGAGAAGCCAGACCCGTGGTTTTAGCGCAGACCGCGGCGAAGAGCGAGAGGGGGAGGGGGAATGTCTGTTCTGAACAAGTATTACGTGGACCAAGTTACCAAATTAATTCGTTTCCATTGTAAATACCTTCACCTGAAATGAGAAAGTTAACGCGAATAAAAAAATTAATTGGGCTGAGTGCCCGACTCTTTGCTGTTGTCTGTTTTACGGTAAAATACCAAAGTTAGCATGACTTACAGTATTTTCAAACTTTCCCCCGTCAGAACTGAAGTTTAAATCGCAGAAATATATTTTCTTAATTTATTGTTTTTTAAAGGAAAAAAACAAAATTAGTGAATTTAAGGAACGACTTAATAATAATCCAAGACTTATTTTTCCATCCGTCCTCGTCTCGCCTTTCTCTCCAATTCAGTTCAAAAGTCGCGACATATCCAAATTGTTATTAATATCACACATTTAAAATGTTTTTCATATACTCCGCAGCTAAATGTTTTCATTCCATCGGCCGAACAGGCGAAACAGCTCCTCTATGCGTTCAGCCCTGGCATTGCAGTGAGCCCGGAGATGCGAGTCGGTCGGGCTGTCAGCCTCTGGGTGTACTGTGCTACTTTTAAACTGGATTATTGGATCAAAGTATTGAATGGTTAAACATCGTTTTATTCTAGACTTTGCATACGCAGTATTCTCAGATTAGCTGTATTACTTCTACCAGACTTTTCATTTAGCTTTTGTTATTTATTGATATGTTAATCTTTTGTAGTGGTGTTACCCAAGTGTCCTAGACAGATTTCCCACTGCTCTCCTCCCCACAGAGAGATTGAGGTGTGTGGGGAGCATACTGGTGCACTATGGCTGCTGTCACATCATCTAGGTGGGGCTGCACACTGGTGGTGGGGGAGGGGATCCCCATTACCTGTATAGCGCTCTGAGTGTCCAGAAAAGCACTATGTAAGTGTAAGGGGTTATTATTATAAATAAGAGTAATTATATTACAGCAGTTTTAAGTGGTATAGATTCCTCAGGTGTATAAATTTGATTTTCCTTAAAAAAAACAGTACCCACTAGAGGCATAATAACCATTTGTTTTATTATTAGGAATTTATTTGGCTGGTGCTCCTATCCAAAGCAACTTGCATTTGTACCATTTCATGCAGCTGGGCATTTACAGGCAGCAGTTGTCTGAGTGGTAAAAGAAAACGTGACCCCAATGAGAACTGGACTGCCTTCCAGCAGTGTGGAGGGGGCCCTGGGCCGATGGCTAGAGGGCTGTGGGTTCAAGTCCCAGGATCTGGCAGGGGAGATAAAATAAGACACAGGCAACTAAACAACCCAGGAGTTACCACCATACCTAAAGGCAAGACGCTTAGCAAAGCTCTGTTCAGGACACAGCTGAGCCAGCAGCCCCTGGAAACAGGCAGAGGGGAAAGCTGCATGATCACAGTCCGTTCCCCTTTATTGGGCCTGAAACAAGCAAACCAGACTTCTGTGGGAACAACGCTATTATACATTGGTATTCTCTGGACACACCGATTGTTCCACCAAAATGTTATTTACTGCAAGTGACTTATTGCATTAAGGTGCCAAACAAGAACAGTAACTAGAAAAACAATTGCAAATACCTTTATGGAAAGGACAAACTATGAACTGTTATTATATTAGAAGTGTAGAAGTTAAATGTATTTAATTTAAATACTGGCCTCTGTAAAAGCTGAAAGTATGTATAATATAACAATCTATAAACAAAGTTGTAGATTTTGCACGGAGAAATCCCACAGCCTAAGAGCACAGCCTTGACCAGCTAGGTCTTGGAATCGTGCAGCCGGCAGACTTCACACCCTGAGAGCCGATCTGGCGCGTGACGCGCTCCCCTCCCAGCCTGCCTGGTGGTCAGTGCCAAACAGCGCAGGGGGAGGCTCCCTCCTGCACCAGCCGGCCTGCTGGCGGTTAATCATTCCTAGAATGCTAATAATAATAATAATGTGTCCCAAGGGCCTTCATGCTTCATTAGGTACCCCGTTATTAAAAAGTCATCGGAAGGGTAGAAAGTTCACACTGGCCGCCCATTGCTCCCCTGTGACGGGACTGCTGGACTCCGCCAATGGGGCTCCAGGGATGTGGCAGAGGGCTGTGTTCTAGAACAGTGTGTTGGAAAACGGGGGCATGCTGTTTGGAGAATGAATGGGCAGTTTATACTGTGTTTGTCATTCTAATATTTTTGCCCCTGTGGTGATTCATTCCAGCCACCTGATAGGATATGTGAGCGTCTCACCTGATATCTCTGTAGCTTTGGGAACGGTAACACCTTAAATATCTTAAACATACAATTACCTCAACGACTAAACGCAGACCTCCTTTTTCCTGGATTGGGGTATTAGTTCACACACTCGTCATAATACCTTTTAAACTCGAGAAATACTTCAGCGGAACATCCAGCTTGGTCTGGGAGATCCTGGGACAGTTTAAACAGTCAGGCAGCGAGGTTAGGAGAAACCTCTCAAAGAAAAAAATAAATACATCAAATAATTAAGGCCCGTTTTTAGATGTAGTGGAAAAAGTGAAGGACTCAGTATAGAAATCATCTCCTGGATGGGTGAGGAAATGCAGAAGGTGCATGTCATCAATCCATCCATCCACCTTCAAACTGCTTCATCCAATTCAGGGTCGCAGGGAGCCAAACCATAACCAGGCAACCAATGGGCACAAAGCAAGACACACTGTGCAGGGGATGCCAGTCCATTGCAGACCAGACACACACACACTTTCACCAGGGCCAATTTTTTCAGAAGCCAATAAAACTACCAGTATGCCTTTGGACTGGGGGAGGAAACCCAGGCACACACGGTTGAGAATATACAAACGCCACACAGACAGCGCACCAGGCAGCCATGCTTACCACTGCCCCACCATGCCATCTGCATGCCAGCTACATATAGGAATAGAAATTTGTAGGCCTATTTTGCTCATGTGGATGGCTTCTTAATTGAAAGCAAACTCCATTTACAGATATAAAGTAAGAAACTGACCCAGAACTTGTTTAGTGAAAAATGACTTTGTGATTTTGCAGGTGTTTTGAATGCACTGGTAATTTTTAGCATGAATGAGCATTATACTGTAAATATAGAAAATTCGATGGTTCCAGAGCTTCATTATGCCACCTATAGAAAGCATCTTGTTATCATGTTTCATTGTCCTGCTCTTGACAGAGATCGCAGAGAAAGTGCAGAATTTAAATTTAAACTGAGGAAAATCATACCTATCCTAGGTCTCATTTAGAAAACTTTGCCTAGTTTTGACATGTGTACAGTATGTGGCTTTGGCGCTGTGTCTTGTTGCCCTGCACTCTTGTGTTAATTAGCTAGACCCTCGTCGATGTCTGTGATGAAATTGCCAGCTCAGCACCAACGAGGGAAAACAGCCTGTTAACGACAGGACACACTGACACACACTAATACACAGAGACACACACACCAGTATGCTGAAAAACCATGGTAAGACAAAGAAACTCACACATAAGCCGTGAGGCTCATACAAAGACGTACAGCTCACATGCTAAGACAACCAATACACTCCTACACACAGGAACACATTCTCTAACCCTGATACACAGAGACACATTGACACACACTCATGTTTAAGCATCTGTACTTGTGAGGACCTCCCATTGACTTTCATTCTATTTTTCATCACAAATCCATACTCCACTGAAATGAAACTCCACATGGAGTTTTCTCAAGTAGTCTGGATTTTAAAGACGATGACATTTAGGTTCTAAAAAGACCTAAACGGTCCTCATAATACCAATTGTTAGGGTCCCCACATGTTCAGCAAAACCTGCACAACAATATACTGGGAAACCTAACGAACCGACACACATTATTACACAGAGACACACAACAATACACAGGGACACACGCACACATCGGCACGCCAAGGGAGGGAAAGAGGGCAGGGAGGGGAGACAGAAAGCAGTGGGGCAGCAGGGAGGAGGTGCTAACAGGGGAGAGAGCACGATAGACAGGCAGAGACCCGAGAGGCACCTGCAGAGCTCCACAGAGTGGGTGGGCACAGCGCACAGCACGCTTCCCTGCAGCAGAGACGGACCTCACGATCCCAGGAGCTGCCGCAGAGATTTTTCCACTTTGGGTGGAAAGCCGTCAGGAGGACAGCGAAGGACGAAGGCTTTGACCAACGTTGCTCATCGGCTCCGAGAAGGGGCTGCTCCTGGACCGAGAGAACTGGGGGCAGAGGGGACTGAGAAAGAGGTGAGTGGTAAAGCAGCTCACACGATGCAATGGCACACATTTCTACTCACGTCTTTAAAGGGACTTCCCAATAACTCTCGTCCTTTTTCTGTTTCTTGAAATGAAATGCCGCAGTCAGTGAAAGCATCTGTGAACAAAATTATTATGGACGCTTTTAGATTTTAAAACTGTTGCATTGATTAAAAAAATGTAATTTACACTGAAGGGATATCCCACATCATACATTTTGTCATTAGTTATTATCTCTATGGGAACATTTTCTCAAAATGTATCCCTACATCGAAACAATAATAAACACTCACAATCTCACACAGAGAAGCTACACCCTTTCTGATACACAACCTACATTACTGGAAGAGTTTTGCTATTTTACTTTGATTTTCTATCATTGCCCATAGCTTCAAAATGCTTTCATTATGCTTAACTACACTGGACCATGGGAACCGAGTCATACAGCGTATGACACACACACTGACTCAAAGGCAAAGGAAGCAGTATCTGTGCTTCCCGTAGCACAGACCCAAAAGGTTACAGATACATGCACATAATCACAATATCATAGACACTAAAATACAGCCAACTGAAGCTTCTAGCTACATACACTGTAACACATGCAGGTAAGACATAGGAGGTTGTGGGCAGAATACCAGGGAGCCCTAAACCCCTGGTCTTCTTTCACAGGGTGTTCTAAGCTATTAATAAGCTCCGACCTGCCAGGAGAATCTGTCACCTTTCATTGCTGACGCAAATGACCATCTCAGCATTGTCGTTCAGCAAAACCTGAAGAGATGGTATTACTGTAAGCCTGCATAACTAGACCTGTGAACTAATTAACCATAAAGAGCAACACAAGTTTTTCACTTTTCATCGGGAGGCTGCCAGCTTTTTTGTAGTTCTGGGGATTTTTTTTTTTATTCTTGGGAATGAAGACAAGACATTGGTAAAAAAAAAGCAAGGAAAAACCGCTCAGAGAAAGGGAGGCCGAGTGATCAATCTAGCTGACAGAGATTCAAAACAAGCCGCCTCTCTACAGTTTGGAGTTCTTCCTCGCATGTTGGTTTTTCTTGTATCATGTGGTGTCTGAGAGGAGGCAGTCTTCTGGGATCCCGCACTAAAAAGCTACTTTTGGGTTTGTTGGAGATGTAAATACCACCAGCCACAGATTTATCACTGATTATAAAATTTTAAACATTTAGGGGTCAACAGCACTCCAAGCAAAAGTGGCTGCTTTAAAAAAAATGTAATAGCTTTGACATGGAAGAGGCATCTGGAACATTTTCGCTTTTTGGGAAAGGAGTGGCAAGGAGAGCATGTTTTGTTATCCTTTAGATGTGAACAGTGAACATATATAAGGGGAAACTAGCAATTTCACAACAAATTGATTTCTTTAATGCATGGATATCCTCTGCCAATGACAAGTTACCCACCCCTAGTCTCACTGTTGCGATTCCTTAGTTGCTCGCAAGGAATGAGTTTCTTGCTGTGCAGCTCCTTCTTACAACAAAGCAGCAGACTAACAAACCCACCTACATGTCCTGTTTGTTTCCAGATATGTTTCTGAAAACACATTGGCAAAAACATGTGGGGAGAAAAGCAGAATCCCATACTGTGATCATACACCCAGCGAGTGCTGAGATTGGGCAACACTGACAAACTCCACCCCAAGGTTTCCCACAACTGAGCAGCTCTTAGAATGTACTGCTTTTTCACTGGGAACAACACCACCCAAGAATGAGGTGTCCTGAAAGGAGTGTGGAGTGTTTAGTGAATAAGAGGAGGAGGCCAGAAGGAGAAGGAGCTGCAGAGGTGCAGATGGGGTAGAGGTGGGATGCAAAAGACATACATGAAGGAGAGAAGGGCATCACGTACGGTATTCATAGTGTTTAAGAGTTGGAAATGAAATCAGAACAAAAACATGTTTTGTCTTGACACTGAAAGCAAACTGGATTTGTTTGCCAGGCCCAGAAGATACAGGTTCACCTTAAAACATTTAGGTTATCAAGCAATTTTTGGCAATAACCCTTATAATAACTGACATCCGAGTCTGATTGAACTTGGTTGTTGCCATCCTTCCTGAACTCTTCATAACAGACTCCGTTTCTGAATAAGCTGCTCTGGACCTTCTGCCTGTGAATTTGCTCCAGCAAGCATTCCAAAACTTTGCTTGGATTGAACCCTCAGCCTTCGTCCCCCATCCTGTGCTGAAAACAGGGTCTTGATGGAGATTCCCTGTTTTTCAGCAGCCACTTCCACCTACCCACTGGAAACCAGGCACCAAGTACAAATGCTGGACATTTTGCCACTCTCACCAGTCACAATTTAGGCCTGATCCGGGTAGAGGTTTCCCTGCAGTGGGACCATTCAGAACGCTGATGCGTTCCAGAAACTCAGAAAGACTGGGCTTCTGAGCACATATGATTCACATCGGATGGAATTCCAGTTAAACAGTGTTGCAACTGCAAATGGCTGTTGAGTTTGCAGTTCAGTGGTCTGTATTAATGCCGTGCAGTGTGACATCTAGGCTGAGGGAGGCTGGCATTTGGAGCTGCATTCATTTTCTTATTTCCCTCACTTATCAGTTGTTTGTCTCCCTCCCTCTGTCCCATCTTCTGCTCTTTACCTACAGAACGGTCAGCCATATATATATATAAATAAAGGCAGTAATTAGAGGTGAGATGTAGAGAAAGATGGAGGCTATGTAGGAGAGTGGGAGAGAGTTGTGTGCACTGGGGGGAAAGAGAGGGTGTTGATTTCCCGGGAAGCTGGAAGTTTGGTTACTGATTGAGGGAGTAATGGAGCGAAAGAGTGGACTGAGTCAGCATCCCAGACAGGCGGACAAACAACACAGGAGATTGTGCAAGAGAGAAGGAGGGAGAGGGAGAAAACGTGTGGGGAGAGAGATAGAGCAAGGGTAGAGGAAATAAGCCCAAGTCAGGAGAGTATCTGCTGGATCTGTGCACGTCTGTCTCTGCACTTAGGTCTGTTTAGCCCATTTCGTTGGCATTTCTATCTTTAAAAAATAAAAACACAAATACAAAATATAACTCTGAAATGTGTCTCCACAGGAAAAGTTGAAGTCAGGATCATTCACATCCAGTCCACATGCCTGATTGACTGTGGGTCTGCCAGGAGAGAGGGGAGTACTGGGGGAAACAGAGCAAAGACGTGAAGGCACCCAGAAAACGATATGACACTATAAGCATTGCAGCAGCCTGTACGCACCATGACCATGGGCACCATGATAATAAGTACAACAGAGGAGGTGGGGTCTGCTGTCACCGACGGCAACCAGAGCTGGTCCTCTCCTTCATCATCCTGCAGCATTGATGAATCCTACAAGTATGTCTTCCTGCCTCTCTGCTACTCCTTCACCTTTGTCTTCAGCATCTCTCTCAACTCTGTAATCCTCTACCGCTCCTTCAGACGTACCAAGCGGTGGAACGCCTCCCTTATCTACATGGTCAATCTGGCGACAACAGACTTCATGTACGGGCTCTCATTGCCTTTCCTGGTGGCCAGCTACATCATGAGGGACCGCTGGGTTTTTGGTGACTTCATGTGCCGACTTGTTCGCTTCCTCTTCTATTTCAACCTCTACTGCAGCATTTTCTTTCTCACCTGCATCTCGGTACACCGCTACCTGGGCATCTGCCACCCAATGAAGACCATTACCCTGGAGACCAAGCGTGCCGTCAGGGGAACCTGCGTCTTGGTGTGGGCAGTGGTCTTTGCCCTGACCAGCCCCATCTTTCGATTTGCTCAGACAGAACATGTCCAGAGAGGCGGGGGGGCTGGAGACGATGGAGGAGGAGAAGCCTTCCAAAACTGCTGGGATGATGCCATAGACAAGGAGTTCTTGGACTACGTTCCCTATGGAATCGTTCTGCACCTGTTAGGCTTTTTTGTCCCCTTTTCCATCATTGCCTGGTGCTACTCGCGCGTGGTCACTACCATTGTCCGCACCCTGCGCTCCCAGCCCCAGTTACAAGGAGAGGGTGGCAACAGGGTGGTGGAATTGGGACGGGCACCCCTGGGAGGACTGTCGGTGACATCGGGCCCCCAGTCGCCTTGTTTCCGCAGGCGCCGCAAATCAATCAAGACCATCATCACCATAACTTTGCTCTTCGCCCTCTGCTTCTTCCCCTTTCACGTCACTCGCACCCTCTTCCTGCTGCTCAAGGTCTCGCCCAGGGTGCCCTGCCACTCCATGCGCATGGTCTCCATCTGCTACAAGGTCACCAGGCCCCTAGCCTCCTTCAACGCTTGGCTGAATGCCCTCCTCTACTTCCTGACCAAGGAGAAGGGTGCCCCTCACTGCCCACAGCCACCACAGCTGCCCTGGCCGCTGCGTCTCCTCCGCAGGGGAGCAGGAGGGACAGGAGGCAAGGACAGCAACAACCATAATGAATCTAAGTCCTCGGGGAACATATTTCGGAGTCTGCCCTGAGAGAGGGGACAGCGGTGAGTGGGGTGGGGGGAGGCCGAAAGAGTAAGAAGGGAGAGAACAAGGGATACAGCGAGACAGAGAAAAGGGAACAGGAGAGGGAAGGGAGGAGAAGCGGAAAGGAAAGAAAAGATGAGGCATAAAGACTCTGGGAGAAAGGCATATGGACTCGCAGATTGTACTTGAATCCTATGAGGCAGAATACTAACAGCAGGGGAATGTGAGACCAGTGACAGAGCACATCTCAGCATGTGAGCAGAAGACATTGATAACCCTCCCGACACACTGGACCCCGCAGTCAGATGCTTTGATACTCATACACTGGACACTGCAGAACAGGGGCACTGATACGTTGGACATACCCTGCAGTGTCACAGACAGACTCCGTTTCCCTTAATGGTCACTCCCTGACAAAGGCGAACAAGCTCTTTCACCAGGCAGGGGTTCTGGTTGTAAAGGCATGTCTGTCTGTGCATCCCATGGAGTATCGCATGTATCTGTAGCTGCAATGATCATGTTTGGTAGAGACCCGTTTGCCTGTTTTTCATCAGCCCTGTTCTTCATCGGCTAAACTGGCTGGGTCATACCGCTGTTCATGAGCAGCATCTGTTGATGAACAGACAAGAGTATATTGGGGTGGTGGTGGTGTGTGTGTGTGTTGGGGCTGGAAAGTGATTCTATTTGTTCAATGCATTTTTTTGTATCTCTTTTCCCAAAGACTACACAAGGAATAAGAGGCTTGTGCTCGGCCTGGGCAATCTCCTCGTATTAAGCCTCTTTCCACTCATGCCCAATGTGTGTATATGTATTCAGAGTGGTCCCACGGGCTCACCTCTGTGATACTGTGTTTTTACCATGATTAAATAAATAACACTTAATTATTCCACTCCCTGTCTGGTTTATGTGCCAACTCTGTGTACAATGTACAGTTTCTTGTTAAAAACCAAATACGTCCCTGCCTGATCCTTAAGAAGCCCATTGTCTTGACTTTGTCAATGCTTGTGGATTTCAATATTTGTATCAGGTCTCCTCTATTTTTGAGGACTGGGGTTACTGCTGGATCCGTCTTACAAGCATTCAGGTCTTTAGCTGTAGATATGTGCTAAAAACCAGGATTTCTGAAAGGGCCTGCAGACACCAGTGTACCCACTGTCCTTTTGGGTGCACTTGGAATAATGAGATAAAGCTTTGATAGCCTTATTAATAAAACATTGAGACACAGCAAAGATCTATAAAAACACACCTGTAAGCCAAGAAGCTGCACCTTTCTCCTGCCCGGCTCTGAGGAGAGCCCAGAAGTCACCTCTCCTCTCTAACGCAGGACCAAGCCTCTGCTTGTACTGAGCGTACAAACTCTTCGGCAAAGGAAGACATCTTAAACATATCCTGAAAACAGACTTTACGCATTGAAAGTGCTCAAACTGTAAACTGAAATATGCCTGTAAACGATTTTCAATAAAGGTGGAACCGGAAGGGGATGTTCATGTATGCGCATGAGCTATGCTCGTTATACATTCAGTTCATGGTGTTCTGATGGGGAAATCTTCCTGAGCTCCGGCCCTGGGGTGTAGGTTAATGTGTTGTTAATCATTTATCAGCGATTCTAAACACAACCCAAAGTTCAAGTCCCGATTGCTTTCCTGAATATTAATACACATACAGCAGCACAGACAATTGAAGTTGCACACACACACTGTGTGTACAGTAACATAACCTCTACTCCAATTTCTTGCCTGAGTATCTGTCTGAGCCTTACAGATAATGATGGGCTGTGGTTTCAAACCACTTTCAACACAGCCTCCCTGCCGAGAGTTAGTTGTCAGCCTTAAACTTAAGGCCTATTTTCTCACCCAGGTGAATAAACAGCAAACATTAAAATATTAAGCACACTCCCCCCCTGTATTCATCGTCTTGCTGTGTTAATTAGAATTTGATGAGCTACTGAATTAACATCACATTTCCAACAATTTAAAAAAATGGTAAAAGTTTATTGAAATACAGAGAACTTCACCACACTGAACTGCTCATGCCAGAAAAACAGTAAAGACTCCCTTTTGTTATAAGCAGCTCTGGAAAGAGGATGAAGCTTCACCATAGCAAAATGACCCTGAGTGTATGCAGCACTAACCCAAGTAGAAAGGCACTGTGGTTTATATCCTCTTGATTCTATGCCTGGTGGTTGGTCACATACACATCTCCATGCTGAGACAGAAAGGCAGCAGGGCAGGTCCCTGTAACTCACTCCAAGATTACAGTTTTTCATTTAATTAGGAGTGATGTTATCATGCCATTCCGAGTAGAGTTTGCAGTTAAAGCTGCCTGACTTTCTACCGTGGACATTCACTTATTCGTGATACAACTCTTTCAGTCAACAACAGCTCTCAGACGCTCACGATTAAATGAGCAAGCACAATTCACGACAGGTACAATAATAAGAATTACATCTTCTCATGGAGCAACTCCAGCCCCTTGCATGACATCATCTGTTGTTGCTCATGTGATGTAACGTCTCTGCCTTTTTTTCTGTTGTCATCACACACAGCTGATGTTTTCAGTGGAAACATCAACAGTTCTCTCTGTCTGAGATGTCAGTCAAACACAGACAAGCAGCTTGCATTTGACAGAATTTTAAGGTGTAAAGGAGAAAGTGTACTGTAGCTATGTGGCGACAGACAGCATAGACAGTCAGTAGCCCAAGGTGATAAAGGCCTCGGGCAACTGAAAGACAAATCTCTTTTACTTTGTACTTCCTCACCTTCATACAACAGAAGAAAAATGAATAAAACTAACAGGAGTTACAGGAAATAGTCATAAAATGTCAGTTGCTCCTCTCAGTTTGTCTGGGGAATGTTACTTCAGTCATCCTGACTGATACAAATGATTTCACACAGCAGTGCATTAAAGAGCAGAAAAGTCTGTGTTGTGCTTTCTCTTTGACAATGTCCACTCCAACTCCGTAGCCTGGATGTGTAAAACTAAAAAGATGTTGCTCCAGCAGGGGTTTCGTGATACAGTATGAAGTAGGAGGTCAATCAGTCAGGGAACCATGGCTAAGGCACACAATGTGGTGTCAGAATGATGTCATATCCTGAACCTCCAGCAGCATGGCATCCTGCTCCGTTCGCAGCTGGTCACGGGTCAGCAGCAGCCCCACCAACTCAGAACTCAAATCTGATTGAGACACAGGATAACGGTGGTCAGTACACATTAAGACATTACAGCAAGGGTGTGTGTGTGTGTGTGTGTGTGTGTGTGTGTGAGGGGGCAACAGAGTAATAGTTAACAGGTTGTACTCGGTACTCCTTAATATAAATCACTATAAATTAACAACTGTCAGTATCGATCTATTGGCTCAGTCCTGATCTGTGTTGACCATGTCTGATCTAGACTGGTCAGTGCTTCTGACACACTCACCCTGTATGGCCTGGCTCAGTGTTTCCCTCAGGTTGTCCAGCTGCTGCAGGCTCAGAGGTTGAAGGTCACTGCGCTCCAGTCGTCTCCTTTTCTTCACCCCTAGCCCTTCGCTTAAACCTGCGGTGGGCTGACCCTCACAACAGGACAAACACAGCATAGGATAAATACTGCCTCCTAGCCTGACAGGATATCTATGCGTCTGTGATGCACTTCCACCTCACCGTTCCTCTGACAGCATGCGTCTTTATCCACCTTTCCTTACCTCTTTCTGTGCAGTGCAAGATGGCTTCAGTCTCTCTCGGAGAGTGCTCAGTGCAACCTGTGCCTCTCTCCTTAGCTCTGCCCGTCTCTCAGACCACTCACTACCAGCAGCCTGTGCAGGGGGACTGGCCTTCTGCATGAGCCCACACCCACTGCTGCCCAGAGCACTCTGTGAAACAACATGGAAACAGTTGCTTTTCCCCCTTCTCTGTCCAAACGTCTGCTTTTCCTTCATTGACCTCCCGATCTTTACCTCTCCCTCTTCCTCCTCCTCCTCACTCTCACTGTTGTTGATGAAGCAGAGCTGGAGATTCATTCGACTCTGTAGTCTGAGAGGAAGAGAAAAGGATCGATGCTGATTAAAAAGGCCCAATACAGAGCTGTGCTGTATCTTAACGGGAATGATCTACAGAAAAAGACAGAGGGCGAATACCAGACCACAGGTTTCACAGCAGGGGTAGACAGTTCCATCCTTGAAGGGCAGAGACTTGCAGGTTTTCGTTCCAAATTTACACTTAATACTTTTAACTGAATCTGAAACCAAATCACCCGATTTTTAAAGTCTCCCTACTGTATGTTGCTTATTAAAAGTACTTCCATGATCTTCAGAAATCCATCCTTCAGGCAGGAATTTCTCACACCTGATGAAGACTATGGTACCACTGCCCCCCCAAAAAATATCCGCAAAAGACAAAAAAACAGGAAAAAGACACTGCCCTGTACCTTGAAGTCAGCGCTATTAAACGGCTGCTGTCCTTATCCTCATCCTCCTCTCTCCAACTCTCCCTGACACTCCCTCGTTCCCTCTCCTCCGCCCAGCCTGCAGCTACAGCTCCTCGCTCCTGCACACCTGCAGGCTGAGAGAGGGGAGAATGAGATCATCTCGATCGATTTGCTTCGCTAGATTTGAGACACTGGGACATGTTAACTGTATGCAACCATGAAAGGAGCCAACCCCTTTAAACTACAAAGTTTCCTAAATTCCTGTAACCCCCCACTCCATTTCTCTCTCTTCACCTTCGCCCGACTCTCCTCCTGTTGCTTTTCAAGTTCCGTGATGCGCTGGTTCAGAGCCTCCCAGTGCATGATGGGAAGGCCAAGGTCATCCTCCATGGACCCTTTCCCCCAAGTCAGGGCTGGCTCTGTCGCTGCCTGATCAGAATTCTCCGCCTCATCGTAGTCTTTCTCCTCACCCCACGTGCTCTCCCTCTCCTTCTCTCCTTCACTCTGTGGCTCCATCATTGGGAATTAGAGAAGTTGAAATGTGGGAAGACTGGGGAGAGAAAACAAGGTTTTCCTGAGAAAAAGAAAGGGACATATCCCATCACCTTTCCACTGCTTTTTTAAAACTATAACCTCCCAGTTGACAATTGATTGATGACTGTCACCATTCTACAAAGGTTACAAAGTCAGAGTATGAAAGTTCTTTAAGATTTTTGGCTCATAAAAATCTATTCTGCGAACACACAGTAACAGTGCTGCAATAAATGTAAAACAGTTTTGAGATTTTATAACAAATATTCTCTGAGACTCTCTAGGCAAATTCACTCCCATTCCAGGAGTACAACTCTAGACTCTGATGCAGGCTCCTACACAGGAAGCCTGGTGAAACCTGGAGTGGATTAGATTGCTACACAATGGGAGTCTGACTCAGTAAAACCATAAAACCTGGAGCAGTTTGATCGGCTGCGTATTGGTCACCGATCCTAGACGGGGAGTGCGAGACAGCATGTGGAGCTGTGGTGGGCAGGAGGGGGTCATTATGTAGGGTACAGAGAAGCCGGACTGACAGACAGTATAGCCAGGAGAACTATAAGCCTGCCACCCCACAGAAAGACATGTGTAGACAAAAATCGAGACACAGGAAACTTAGCAACCGCACCACACCTATACACAGACCAGCTCACCTGCGTTTGATGGGAAGCTGTTCCCTCTCTCCTCTCAGCTCCCCTTTTTCTTGGAGGTGCATAGATTGGAAAGTCCCTCTTGGTCTCACACATGCAGCTGTGCAAGGCCGAGTTGTTTACTTCTCCGGAGCCATCGTCTTTTGCCACAACGTCTTTCTGAAACGGCTTTGCCCCTTCCGCAGACGTCCCTCGTCTGCTCGGCTCGGTGCGGGGCTGGCCCGCCTGCTGGCGTGCGCCTGTGATGAAACTGCCTACGGGGTGTAACTCGCGGTGAACTTGTCCAGACTGTGCAGATTCCTTCGCAAAAGAAGGAGGGAAAGGGAGAGGGAGGGAAAGGAGAACCGAGCCAGGTGTCCGGTTTCAGAGATGATTCAAACCAGATGAGTCCGACATCATTAAAGAGAAAGTTTGAGGGGGGAAAAAGAGGGTTTGGGGGCATTGTTTGATGGGAAGGGGACAAGATCCTGCCTAGGTTTTTCCTTTCGGTTCAACTAAAGAATTTTAAAATAATTTTCAAGCAGACGAGCAAACAACCGGGGAGACTACCGCAACGTAATCGCGTTGTCGTACTAGGCTACAGGCGAAGATACTGGTGCCGTTGCTGTTCTAATGCGTTTGTCGTTTTCTGTTCGCTGGGATTCTAGGTCGGAAAACCACTGTTACTATTAAAGCCAGTTAAACAAGGTCAGTGGCATTATTTCCAAATACAGTCAACGCGCCGTACTAGAACTTGCTATTCCACACACACACCCAGCGAAATCACAGAGCCGAGCCCAGAGATTCCTGCTGCAGTGTGAGTGCCTTCAAAACTCCCCCCCTCACTCTCTGAAGTTTCCGCTGAACCCACCTGTGCGTGAACGGGGGGCTCCTCCCCACCCGTGTCCGTCCCCCTGGGCTCGCAAGAGCTCGCGGACGCCGCTTCCGAGCTCCCCGGAGGTCACCGGGATCATTGGAGACGCAGGGCGGCTGCACTCTCAACTGTGAGCAATTGCGCCATTTGCACGAGTGCCTACACGAGCCCGAGCAGCCCCTGTAGGAATCCGTTCTTCCCTGTTTTAACCGCTAGAGGAGCTAAGCACCAAATGCGAAAACTTCAAAGAAGAACAGAAAAATAGGGTCCATCTATTGATAATATTCTCTTGTTTCCGCCCTTGGCAGTATTAAAGATTCAGGCCCTGTGTACCTTGTGAGAGAGGTTTGCATCATCCTCCATGTCCACAGAGGTTTTCTCCCACAGGAGGCTTTTACTGAATTGAAAAGCCTTGTTTTTAATTGCACTCATTCTGTTGTCTCCTCTTCTCGTATTTCTTTCTTACTGTCAAAGTGCTTTGCGAAGCTACTTTTAAAGGCGCTGCATGACACAGTCGATTAATATCATCATTGTTCTGACTCGGTAAATAATAGGTCAGTTGAGGCCTCTAAATTGTTCCCTGTGTTGTGAGTAGCTCTGGGTTGGACAGGGGCAGGTGCACATCCATCTGCAGCACGTAGCCAGAGCTCCTATCAGTAGGAAATATCAGCCTGTAGGAAAGGGTTCCAGAGATCTCTGTGACACGCCTTCACATATAAGGTCTGTGAGACGGAGCGGAGGAGGAGAGAGAAGAAATGTGCAGAACGAGAAGGAAAAGAAGAGAAGAGAGGGAGAAGGCAGTGTGGGTTGGAAAAGGGGAGAGGAGGGGTAAAATCAAGATAAAGAGGGGCAGTTTGGGGAGATAGAGAGAGGAGAGTAGGGATAAGAGAGAGATAAAGGAGGGCCAGATTGGGCAGAAAGAGAAAGGTGGGGTAAAATCTAGATAAAGAGGGTCAGATTGGAGAGAGAGGGGTAAGAGAGAGGTAAAGAGGGGCAGATTGGAGAGAGAGTAGTAAGACAGAGGTAAAGAGGGGCAGATTGGAGAGAGAGGGGTAAGAGAGAGGTAAAGAGGGGCAGATTGGAGAGAGAGGGGTAAGAGAGAGGTAAAGAGGGGCAGGTTGGGGAGAAAGAGAGAGGATAAAGAGGGGGCAGATTGGGGGCAAAGAGAGAGGGAGAGAGGGGTAAAGAGAAGAAAGGGGGGAGAGAAGGAGGGAGGCGCCACACACTCACAAGCACGTGTACAACAACAAGCTGTGGTGCATTTCACTTTTCCTTTATTGTCACTGCTCTTGGTGGGTGCCAGGAGACCGGACAGGATACACAGTTATGCCATGCAGAGTTTCCAGACACCGCAGTCAAAGCAGATCACTTTGGCACATGAGGGGGGGGGATGGCAATGTCTGGAATGATCCCTGTTGAATACTGAAGCAGCACTAACAGGTTCACAGATGACCGGCGGCACTGGGTTGGCGCCACCACCTACAGAGAAAACGACACATTTCCTTGGCTCATCAAAATGAAACACTGGGTGCCCTCTGTGTTCTTCACTGCACTCGGCAGCACCTCTGAGGGCAACAGCGCAGCGACCGAGGGGTAATTATCTTCTCCAATGACCACGGCAGAGAACCCCTCCTCTGACAGGCAGTTGGGCTCCTCCACTGCTTCGAACCCCATCGCTTCTCGCGAAACTGTGGGCCACGCTGAGAGTCTCTGCCCCCAGAGACAGAGACTGTGCGCGGATCTCTGCCCAGCGGGATTCCAGACACTCACTGAGCACACAGGGGAAAGTCCTGTATTACTCCTGACTTTTCGCAGGATTTTGTTTTTTTGCAGTATCTTGCAGGATACTACTACACCAAGACAGCGCAGGCATCCCTCATTTCTTCATATCTCCCCAGTGTGGTGCCCGCGAATTCCCCCACAAGATGGAGTGCAGCAAAATATGTGAAAGGATATGGGTTTCTGATCCACAAAATCCTTCAATGGAGGTGTTGCTACCAGACGGTGCTGGCCCCTGACGCTTACAGACTGACGCGACCTCACGCGTAAAAACAAACTAACGAGTGCAGACGGATTTCCACTCATTATTTCCGAGCCTGCGAGCAACAGCAGTGGTCTAGATCCCGGCACTCGACAGCAGGAATCTGGCGCGTCTCCCGGCGGCACACATCACAGTGAAAAAGAAAAGGAAAGGAAGGCTGCAGTCCTACACTCCCACCGCCAGAGGGAGACCAAGGACAGTCTATTAAACCAGCTAAATGAACCGTCGCCGCAAAGGAAGTCCAGGCCTGGCGGTGTGCTTTTTCTCAACTGGGCGGAGAGTTCATATGCTCACACAGAGACGCACACGCCTCAGCGTAAATTGGTAAAAATATAATAATAATTAAAAAAAAAAAGAATTAGCTCTACAGTCATATGTAATGCATGTGGTAGGTTAAAGTGCAAACAGAAAATACAAAATATGACACTTTAATTTAACCGTTTCCAGACATTGCCATAGTAATAATAATCTCATACATTTCATTGTAGTTATTATATATTAAATATCCTTAATAATTATATTCTATTATTGCTAACATCATCAGTATAATAAATCTTAGAGCTGCTATAATAGTTTCCCATCGCAAACTCAACAGGTCGGCACGCGGCTATGTTACAGTGAAAGGACAGTCACGACACTGGGAACACGGGGCGCGGGCTCGAGGCATGCACGAGGGCTTTCCGGAGGGGGTGCAGCGCGACTGCTGCCCCCTGTTGGACGAGGGGCGTCCGGAGCGGCCGTCTCTCCCATTCCCGCTCTCGTCCGAAGCGCACACACGTTCTCCCACATCCGGGTGATGGACCATCTTCCGTTCCGTCGGTATGGACAGATGATCTGTTCGGCTGTTTCGAGTACGAGCTAGGATTTTTTTTTTTTTACAGCTCCGCTATTCTACACCAGTGTAAAAGACAGAGAGGCCATTGAGGGGAGAGAGACATGCACTGACACAAAGTCAAAAACCAACCAAATACACGCTGGGAGACCCTCTGACCATTCAAAACACACCCAAGGACCCGTAGCACAGTGTTTTGTTTATACAAAATAATGCTATAATTTAGAGACAGACGGGATTGAGGTCAGAGGTCACACTGAGAGGATCCAGATAAAGGCCAGACAGACAGTTTGGAATTGCAGAAACCCGTACCAGTAAGAGAAATCGGCTGGACACACAGACAGACAGACAGACACCATTTTAAACTGGATAAACCCGTAAGTATCAGTGAGGTTGAATGAAGAGGCAGACAGAAGTGTTAACCTCGCTCAAGATGGACTGGTACTGTGTGCGAGTGCGTGTGTGCACGATGTCACCTTCTCTGCCTGTTTGACTTCTGCTCTCTCTAGGGGGTAGGGACTGGAATAAATTAAAACCCCTCCAGTAAGATAACCAGATCCCATCAATTACTGGGGACGGTGAAGGTCTGGACGGGACAAGCCCCTTGCCCAGGTGAGGGGTGTCAAAGCAGCTGAGATCCAGTCCACCTGCAGCAGAAAGATGAGTCTGAGTGCTCCGGGCTCCACAGCCAGGACTTACAGGCCAGTCCTGATTGTCCATGCTCAGATAAGGACAAGGCGGGAACAAGCCACAGAGAGAGAGAGACAAAGTGATCAGCAGGCTGATGTGAAAGGTTCTAGTGCGCACACACACACACTGACACACCAGCACAGTACACAAAGAGCTCAGTGCAGGACTGACAGTGTGAATCCTGCTTCCTGGGTTGGCTCAGCAGCTTTGATTGGACCCACAGACAGACAGACGGACAGACGGAGGGACAAACAGCCAGACAGGCTTCCGCCTGCTGGAAAAATAAAGTTAAAGTGAGAACGACATCAAATGTCTCATTTACACAGGATCCTAGTGTGCCTGTCAGTGGAGATCTCCCAGTCAGACCCTGATACACACATGCACACCGACAGACTGGCGGTCCAACGCTCCTGCACAGCAGCCCACTGCTGCAGAGACCGGGACCCTGGCCCTCTGAGAGCGACACGCACACAACCTGCTACAGGCGCATTCGCTCACACACACAGACATATACACACGCGCGCTCCCGGCGGGGATCAGAGTTCAGAGGTCGGCGCAGCGCTCCTGCTTGCTGTAGTGGTCAAACTGGCTCTTCCAGTGCATCATGTAGGAGCTCCAGCGATGGAACTCCACCTTCCACTGCCTCTCTGCCTCGTCGATGTTGTCTGGGAAGAGGGAGAGGGAGTGAGGAGCACGCGCCGCTGTGCCTGGAGCCCTTCTGCTCTGCTAGCTGAGCATGTCTTTCCACTGCACTACCCCAGAGCTATTGGGGCTGCAAAACCACCCCCCTCCCCTCCCCTCCCTCACCACCTCCTCCCTCACCCTGCTCTTTCTCTAATGAGAACCTAATCCACTTACGGAGAAGAGGCTTCTGCAGAGCTGCCTGGGAGGCAGAGAATGGACATTGAGCTTTTTTTACAACGTTGTCACCCTGTGTATGTCTCTTAGTCTTTGAATACTTCATTTCACAGCATTCCGTGTGTCCACAGTGTACAGTGTTCGGAGTGTCTATAACTGGACAGTACTTGGTATGTCTGTGGCGATGGTGTGATAAGCATAGTGTTTATAGCGTTCAGTAAATGTAACTGTACAGTGTTCAGTGGGTCTATATGGACACTTCTGTGACTGTGGCAGCAGTCTGATGAGCAGAGTGTGTACAGTGTTCAGCAGGTCTACAGTTGTGCAGTGTTTGGTACATCTGTGGCGGTAGTGACAGAAAAGAAAACAGAAAAGAAAATTATCTATCTCTTCCCCTACAGTCTGATTTCTATAAATAATACATGTGCTGTTCTTTTGGCTTAAAAGACTGCAGAAATCACAGCTGAGATTCTGCAAAGGGGTGGACAGCTTACCAGTGATGTTGAGCAGGCGGGGCAGGAATCGGTTCCAGAAGGCACACAGCTGAGTCCTGAGCCCTTGGTGGACTTTCAGCGGCTCCATGTTCAGACTCACGTAGCTCTGCTCTCTGGCAGTGAACACTGGCCACCTGCTCCGGGGGTCCACACTGCCATCGGCGTTGATATTGGGGTTTCTGAGAGAAAGACGGCAGAAGAGAGAGTGGGAGGGAGGGGGCGAGCAAGGAAGAGTTGGAAGAGGGAAAGAAAAGAAGTAGAATGAAGCAGGAGGAGTGAAGACGTGCCCGAAGTCGCAGAATAAGTCCCGACCCCTACACCCCACAAACACCCCATCCTCTTCTGCCCCTCTCTATTGACTCCCCTTGTGCTGATCTCATGCAGTGACTCTGTCTCTCACACACAACACCCTCCACCCCTCCCTCTCCCTCTCCCTCCCTCTCTGAGCCTCCCATGCCGCCCCTCACCCAGTCCGCGCGAAGTTGGCCCAGTATCTCATGATCCTGCGGCTCAGCTTCTCCTCCTCGGCCGTGTAGTTCAGGCGGCTCTCGAGCGGCAGCCCGAAGACGAACTCGATTTCGTAGCCGTGGATCACGCCCATCCACTCCGGCCACACCAGGTTGGAGGCCCGGTGGTCGAAGAAATAGGCGTAGACACTCCCTGCGAGACAGGGAGAGCGAGACCACGGAGAGGTGAAGCGGACAAGGGCGAGGGGGAGAGGAACCGTTTAACAAGCCAAGAAACTGGAAATGATCAATCCTAATGGGGATTTCAGACGCCTGCTGACCGCAAAACGCTTGGTTTACTCTTACCATGAGGTTGCCCTGTTGTTCTTTGTGTAGCGGAGCTAGTTCGGATATGGTGACGTCATCCCCCTCACTGCGCATAGCGGGGACCTCAGCTGCCTGGGGCTGGGGGGGGGGTCTCCTTTAGCTCATGCGGCTGGTTCCCTGTTGCGTTACGCCAGAGACCCGGGTTCGCGCCCCCAGGTGCCGAGGGACGGAACGGGTGGCGGGGGGCACGACACCGCGCGGAACCACGACGGTCACATTGGTGCCGTGACCCGGATGGGAGTGCCCTTTGCCGAGGCGAAGTTCAGCAGGGGAGGGTGTAGTGGAGCTAGTTCGGATACGGTGACGTCATCGCCCTCAACGTGCGTAGCAGGGACCTCAGCTGCCTGGGGCTGGGGGAGGTCTCCTTTAGCTCATGCGGCTGGTTCCCTGTTGCGTTACGCCATAGACCCGGATTCGTGCCCCCCCGGTGCTGCGGAACGGAACGGGTGGTGGAGGGCACGACAATGCGCGGAACCGCGACAGTCACATTTGCAGGTACCCATGCAAAAGTGCTTGTCTCAATGTTAATTAAAAATAAATTGTCATATTTTGCAAAGGCTCCCAAAAGAAATAACTCTGATGAGCTGTTCTCTTCCTGTGATCAGGGGGCACACACAGTGGATGGCACACCCAGTAACTAGGCAATGTTTGTCATAGGAAAGGTATAGGAGGCTATATACTGTACATGTTAATTTCATTCTGTATAAGGTAGATTTTTAAATTCCTGGCCTGTCTTAAAGCATCTTAGGGATTTTGGACCAATTTTTGCATGATACTGAAGCATCTTTCTATGACCTAGATCTTCTAAAATAAATGACAAACCAATAGAAATCTCCATCAGAAAGAATATATTGTTCCCAGTGATTTAGGGCATTTTAAGATCCCGTAAAATAATTCCACTTCATCCTTATCCCAGAGACCCCCCACCCTTTACATGTTGATGCCTCTACCTGCAGCTCCATCTGGTCCTGCAGAACTGCCTGCTGCTCCGGAGGATGCTGGAGACATGGAAGAGGCCTGCGCACGGAGGGAGGCATGCTGCGCGTACGAGCTGGCGAAGTGCAGCAGGGGGCAGATGACGTTGTGGTCTCCCACGATGTCATCCATGGCATCCCGGTTCTTTTTTGCGTCGTTCTCGTCCATCCAATCGGTGTACTGCAGCACCACCGCCTCCAGGCCGATGTCGTTGGCATGGGGAACGCTGAGCTTGACCCCCTCGAGGAAGTCCTCCCGCGTGATGAGGCTCTCGTTGTCCTTGCTGAACCCAGGGGCCCCATAGAGAAGGAAGTAGGACCCCTCGTCACGGTTGACACCCAGGAGGATCTGGGTGTCCTTGAAGTTGCCCGAGCTTAGCATGGCCTCTGGGTTCTCAGGCAGGACCATGCCATCCACCATGGGCACGAAGGAAAAACGGAAGAGGCTGTTATAGGGAAGCACAAGCCACTCCTGGTCGATTAGGTCCTGAGGCTGGTGGGACCGCAGGCAGTCCACGATCTCAGTGTCATTTCCTCCTTGGCAGCCCACTAACTTGGCCAGGAGGGTGGCCCGGCGGCGGGCCTCTGCAGGGGTCACCGTGGCCCAGGGGCAGTTTGGCACCCCGCTCTGCATGATGGCCCTAGTAAAGGTGGGGCGGCTGTCTGGGGAGAGGAGTTGCATGCCCACTGAGGCGCCTCCTGCACTCTCCCCAAAGATGGTCACCTGCTTAGGGTTGCCGCCGAAAGACTGGATGTTATCCTGGACCCACTGCAGCGCCATTCTCTGGTCCAACAGACCCACATTTCCGGGCGCCTCCGAGGAGCCGTGCAAGGCTAGGAACCCAAATGCCCCAACGCGGTAGTTCATGGAGACGACAATCACCTTCTCGTAGTGAGCCAGATAGCGCCCATCATACACATCGAGGGAAGAGGAGCCGCTGTAGAATCCTCCCCCGTAGATCCAGACCATGACGGTGAGGTTGTTGAGCCGTGGGGACGGCACCCATATGTTGAGATACAGGCAGTCCTCACTCATCTCCCGGTTGGGATTCCACATCTCGGTGCCAGGGAAGCCCGGATAGGAGGTATCCACGTATTGATAGCAGGTTTTAGGGTATGACGTGGCCTCGAGGACCCCCTGCCAGGGCTTTTTGGCCTCAGCCCGGCGGAAGCGCATCTTGCCCACAGGGGGTTCAGCAAAGGGGATGCCCAGGAATGCGTTGATGTGACCCCTGTCGGGGACGGTGAGGCGCACCCCCCTCACACGCCCCAGCCGGGTGGAGACAGTGAGTTCAGACTCCCTAGCATGGGAAGGGCAGGAGAAGGGAAGGAGGAAGAGGAGGGAGAGGGGTAAGAGGAGTAAGGGGGGAGAGGAGGAGTGCAGCCTTGTCATGTCTGAGGGCTGCTGGTCAAGATGAGCCTCTGCAGGAGAGAGGAAAAGAGAGAAATTTGTCTGAATCCTCTTTAGTTCTGCTGATACCCTCTGTTTAATTAATGCCTTTTACACTCACTGGCCCAAATGTTAGGAACCCACACCAAATACCGGTAGGCCTCTCAAAACCAGCTAGAACAAAACATGCCATGCAAAACATTCCACATTAATGAGACGTATCTGCTGCCCTGTCCCTTAAATTGCCTTCAGTTCTGGTTTAGATGAACATTTTTGCTGGTTTTCTGCAGTTTTGAGGGCTGAGAGACCATTCTGGCCAGGGAAGTCTGTACATTACGCCTCAAGCCCAACCTCTTCGCGCCTGTCCACTTGCAGGGTGTCACGGGTCTCACTGATCAGACACAAGCCCCTGTTACTTCCCATAAACGCCAACACACAACCGAATTACCCGACCACGCCCCTCGCCCTGCACCACACCTCCCGTCAACCCACCACTTAAGGTCTCCTCAACTGCACTCCCACGCTCAGTACTGAGTTCAACCTCACCGGGCTACGTTCTCAAAACTACGCCTAGAAACCCATCGTCTCGTGAAACTCTCGTGAATACTTGACCCACGCTTTCTCTCGACCATGATTATTGACTACGTGACTTGCCTAAGTAAACCCGGCTTCTGCTCTACTCTATTTCTCCCTCCAATCTTTGGCCAAGCACCGCATAGGGTCCTATCTTCTTTGTCGTGACCAACTGTATCTAACACAGGATATTTGCATAAGCCAAGGGGTTCCTAATAACCCGGCCACTGAAAATAAAACAGCGCCAAAATGGACTGTATTCGCATGTCCTGAATAACCAATGACAAAAGTGTGACTTTTCCTAACTGACTAACTCTCCTCGACACGGACATGTTTCTATACAGTGACTGTCCCCAGCCGGGCCCAGTCCTGAAAAGTTTTGTGTTGTTTTTCCTCAGAAGGCTGCGCTCCTGTCCCGCAGCACTTTCTAGCGTTCTCTGCCGAGACACCAAAAAAGCCGGACTTGGGCCAAGTTTAAAAGAAGCTTCCAGCCGTATCCCAGGCAACGGCCCGTAAATCAAACTCGGTTCCACTCGGAACGCGTTTCTTGTTTGGCGACCGGCGCGGGCCGACGTCCTGCAGAGATATGAGCACGTTTGCTGCGAGAGCGGAGTTTTGTGTGAAAAACCCGAGGCCAGCTGTTGGTGACATCGAGCCCTCCTGACTCCTTGCAAGCTGTCCACCCCTTTGCAGAATCTCAGCTGTGATTTCTGCACTCTTTTAAGCCAAAAGAACAGCACATGTATTATTTATAGAAATCAGACTGTAGGGGAAGAGATAGATAATTTTCTTTTCTGTTTTCTTTTCTCAGGACACTTGAACCCTACAGGCTTCTACCTAGGAGGCTGGCTGGTCACCCTGACCTGCGCCGGTTGGGTTCGGCCCAGATGATGTGCGCAGCAACAGGCCGAATAAATCCTGGTGCACCCACATCCCTTTCCTCCCAGAGGGGAAATGGATTTTACCTCCTCTCTCCCCTAAAACACACAAGCAGCCCCCACCCCCCCCACACACACACACTTTGTTGTTGTTTTCCGGTGTTGTGTGGGTTGCCATGGCGATGGGATTAACATGTCCAGGAAAACACGGGGATGGCTGGGATGCCTGCTATTTCTGGCCCCCCAAACTCTGCGCCTCTCTATTTCGGTGTTCACACACTCACTCACACACACACACACATTCAGACTGACAGCTGGGCCAGCCAAGTCATTACAGCTACGCGCTGAGAGGGAGGGAGAACCGAGAGGGAGAGGAAAGCGAGAGGAGACAGGGGGATGAGACTGAAGGAGAGGGAGATGGAGAGGAGGGGAAAAGGGAGAGGGAGAGGACGCTGGGAGGGACAGAGCGGGAAAGGGGCAGAGACGATTGAGAAGCTCATATATTTTTGTTGTTTTTCATTTTACACTTGGCGGGCCATGCAGGGCTCCTGTACAGATGCAGCTGTACTCTCCTTGTTTTGCAGACTGGCAGTCTGCAGAGACAATAGCAGTTTCTCAGAGATAACCTCTGGCTGATACCTCCTTCGCCTTTTGAAGGCAGAGAGAGGCAGAGGCGTCTGTCCACGGAGAGCAGTGAGGTGCTGGTGGTGACAGACAGCCTTGCTGTTTCTGTGCCCCGATATTAATATCCAGGCAGACGAACAGCTGGCAAGAGGAAGCAGGGGCTCCCATCCTGAAAATAGACCCCGGAATCTGTGTGTGGAGTTCACATGGGGATCTGTTTCAGTTTGGGATTACACCAGGCTCACTGGTGCCCATGTAGTGAGCGTGGCGGGGAGGGCCTCAGGCCCGCTCTCTCTCCATGGAGCCTCACTCCGAACTGCGCGCCTGTTGCCATAGAAACCCAGCCCCGGCCTGCCATCCCCAGCCCTCACTCCTCCTGGCAAGCCCGTCTCCCCGTCTCTCCCTCCTTCACTCCTCCCGACTCGGTGCGCCTCAGGTCCGCTCTTGCCGCGTTTTAAGTGGCTCCCACGACCCACGACCCACGACCCACGACGGAGAGACCGATATTGCGGAAAGACCTGCGGCGCTCGCGGTCCGGCTGCGAGTTAGACGTCACGAACACTGTCATCTTATCATGTATTCGTTCAGAAAGACGACTGGTACATGTCGAGCGTGTCTCCACACTCCAGTCCAGTCGTTCCTTCCCAGTACTGTTTAAGGCTCTCTCCCCGTGAGACAACTGGCAGGGAGTCGCCAGACAACAGCGAGCGAGAGCCGTGTAAGGCGAAGCATTAAAAATTTCGCACTAAAAACAGCCACGGCTCTTTGCCGCCTTCCTGCGGAGGCCCACTGCACAGACCACGTATTTCTGTCGTATGCGATATATTTTTAAGTGGATATTTATTTTTAGGACAGACCTGGGGTCGCTCGGAGTAATCCCGGTCCGCTGGCGATTGCGCCTAATGTAGATCCTGTGATCTGCCGCGCCGCTGACACAGCCCGGTCGCGTTGTCACTCCAGCCGAGATGACAGTTTGACGAGCGCAGGGGAATCACCACCCGCCCCCCTTCAAAGCTTTTCTTCCAGGAGAGGAACTGCTCTGTTTCACGCTTTGTGTAATAATTCACATCCGACGCAGCACGCAGCAGCATGGGCTCACGGCTCTGGGAAGAGAAGTATAGGGACTGCCCCGAGAACGACAAACAAACACATGACGGCTAGCGATGGGACCTCATACAGCTTCATCGTTGCTCTATAGGCAGGGTAACATCATAACAGCCCTATAAAAAAGCGGAGCAATAATCAAAACCATGCTAGACCCAGTAGAATTGTCTTACAATCGTAACTGTCAGCAATTCGGCGCTCACTAAGAAGACAATGATTACATTAGACTCTGGAAACCAGCTGACTGGAAGGGCGATGCTCCTCCAGCAGCTGTGTAACAGCGGGAACTGCAGGCCAAGCAGATGTGTTCTGCAAACATCGCTGGCGATTAGAGCTGACCTATATAAGGGCCGGGCAACGAACACCCCTCCATCTGTTTTCTAACCGCTTCAGCCAATTCAGGGTCGCGCGGGAGCCGAAGACTATCCCGGCAAGCAGCGGGCACAAGGCAGGGTACACGCTGGGCGGGACGCCAGTCCGCCGCGGGACACGCACACACGCACACCAGGGCGAATTTTCTCAGAGCCAATTCATCTACTAGAATGCGTTTGCACTGTGGGGAGAAACCTGATCATCTGGAAGGAAACCCCACACGAACACGGGGTAAAACAGACAAACCCCACACAGAAAGCACCCCCAAAACTGATCTCGGGGCCCCAGCGCTGCGAGGCAAAAGCGCTAACCCCTGGCGCACCGGCGACAAACTGGACGATCGCTGTTTTCCGGTTTTAAGCTCAATCACGGAAACGTTTCTCTTGTTTCATTTCAATAATTCAACCTTTTGACTTTCGTCGGAGATGCGAAGTCTTTTCCTCTTGCTCGTCCCCGCTGTCCACACACAGCTTCAGCAGCGAGCACAGACGAACATCGGGAGTAACTGCACTTGGCGCTTACTGAGGAAAACACATGAGTTCTATATATACACATCCGTCCCAGGTGACTTCATGCGCGCTCGATCTAAACCATCTGCTGCCAGAATCACATCAAGTTGACCTGTTACGTGATTTCCCCGTTCAAAAGCGTGGGGTTGGGCGGTGCAAATCCCGATTGTTATTGTGAATTAGTGAATATTTATTTGAGGTCGTCAAGAGCAATTCCAGCCCACTGGCGATGAGGCAGATGTTTTCGATAAGCAGTGTTATCGATAACAGAAACCCTTCGCGAAAAAAAACAAAAACCCGACTCCTGACGCCCAGCGTCGCTCTGCTGTCCAGGCCTGATAGGTGCTGCTCACGAAGGCGGCTGGTCTTCGGCCGGTTCACTCGCTACGTGAAGGTGAGATCCCGCTTTTCGTCGTCCGCCTCCATATCGAAGACGACGACCGAGCGGAAATCTTTTATTGGAGCTATTTCTACAGCCTTTTAAAAAGCCGATAAATGAGACTGAAGGAGAGGGAGAGGGAGGGGAAGAGGACGGTGGAAGGGACAGGGTGATAAAAACCGGCGTGGACAGGGCGGTCACAGCCGTTTGGTTCCTGACGATATCATTGAACTCTTAAACCCGCCCAAGACGCCCGCACGTGCTCTCGCTTCGGACCCAAGACCCGTTCTCGGCAAGAGACTCCGAACCCCGGGAGACCCGAGCTCCCCGGCTCTGTCGCCCCCAGACCTGCGGAACGACCTCCCGGAGCCCATACCCAGTGCACCGAGTGTACACGTCAGCCAGCACCTTCACGTCTTGTGCATAAGACGTACAGTACTCTAGCTTTTCGGATTCGTCTTCATTTTCCGTCTTCAGCTGCGCCCACGTCTTGTTGTGGTATTATTTTAGGATTTCGAGTCACGGAACGTGTCATACACTGTCTGTATAACAATATGCAATTCGGCGTTGAAACAAGCAGACCGAAAGCACTAAACTACCCCGTCTTGCATTCTGATTCCCGATTGTGCTGCGGTGTTATTCTCCCCTGGTATCGCTCTACAGACTCGCTTGCCTCCTGTGTTTATTTAAAGGGTTCAGCTATATTTGTCTGTCCTGGAAAATGAATGGCGGGCGAAGGCGTTGTACAGTAGGTGAGCTGGGCTCGTGCGACCCGGGGGCGGGGGCGCGTGTGACGGCGCCTCAGCCTTGACCGCAGCCCGTGCTTCAGAAACCTGCTCCGCTGGAGTTCGCGGCGCACAAGACACGCGCGGGCTGCACGAGCAAGAGACCTCTCCACTCTGAAGGTTTCCTCTTGCTCGAACGACCCGCCGCCGTTCTGCAACATTCACTCCACCCCACCACCAATGCGCAACTCTTTTCCCGGCGCGACTAACGCTAATCGCGCTGGATGGTCCGATTAGTGTTGATACCGTGAATGCTTCAATCAAAACGAAATATATACCATATCATAAAACAGGAAATCGTATTACTAGGAATATTAAATCGCTCCATTTCTTCCCTCAACTGTCGTAGCATGCAACCGTAATAACCACCGTCATCATCGCCACCCCCTGAGTGTTTTTACGCTGTTCGGAGGCAGCTCACTGGAGCCAACAAAAACACTGACATCAAAGCAACTCAGGCCATCACACAGGGGCCACCCATTAACTACACTGGCGTTCTGCATCCCCAGAGTCCCCTCTATGTATAGAAGCGGCCGTGCCAAGTTGTGTACGTCCGGAATGTGCGGCATTTTCACAAATGCGCGCACACGGGCATACACACACCGACACACACAGGCGATCATGCCCTTCACTGTATAAACACGGCACAGCGCGCCAGCCGATAATACTGAATGTGCTCCACCTGCTTATTATCAGAGTGGTTAAAAAAAAACCAACAAGACTATAAGCTGTTTTTTTTTTATTATTTTAAATTGTAAACCAGGCAGCCGTGCACTCAGTTACCGTACCTTAGGGGCTACCTGCTCCTGTTGGCGGCCGTCAGTCCGTGTCTGTCTCTCTCTCTCCTGCTATCGTCTTCCTTGGCTGGGCTGGTTTGGGGACTCCGGCGGTCTTTGGACAAATGAGGGAGGGAGGGGGGACCGGAAAACAATGAAGAGAGACGGCTGTGGGAAACCGTCTGTCGCTTGCCGAGAGCACCGAGGCGGTCACGCTTCGCTCCGGACTCGCTCACTGCTGGTCTCTCAGAGCCTGCCTAGAATAAACCCCTCGGAATAAAAAAAGACGGGTTCTATTCTCGCGAGATCTCCCCCCCCCTCCTCCTCTCCCCCCCGGTTCTGTCTAGTAATAAATATTGTGCGGCCACTGTATCATGCGCTTTTAATCCTAATAGTGGAAAAAAAGAAAGACATTTAAAAAAAAAGAAATCGGTTTCAATTTAATTAATGCGCTAGTCCGGGCCAGTTCCGTGATCTCGGCGCTGGCGTGAGCGAGTCTGGCGCTGTGGACGCGGGGATAACCCAGACATCCTAGAGAGGAAGGGAGCGTCTGTCAGATTCACGCCGGAATTCCCTCTCTCCTGCTCGGCGGGACACCCCGGGAAAGCGACCCCCCTTTTCCTCCTCTCCAGCAGGGTGCGATTTGCGCTGGTTCCCACAACGGGCCTCCTTTTACAGGGGCTTGGTCACCGGAGTGTGTAGTTAGCCAGGGTTAACAAAATCGTTGGTCATTTGATCAGCAGAAGCAAAACAGAAGGAGAAACCTGTAACCCGGACACTTCCTCACCTCCCCCCTCGCAGTGCTACTGACAACACTATACTACTACTCTGCTTCTACTAACACTTCTCCTACCACTAGCAGCTGTTATTACAGCTACTGCTACCACTACACGTGCTGTCGCTGCTGCCATTGCTCATAGTAGCGTTTGCTCTGCATCTCAGAAAACTCCACAGTGTTTGTGGCTTGGAGTGAAGGCTCATTTAATTCAGATCAAAACCCACACAAAGGAAAAACAGAACATACTGTAGCAAATCACAGTTCCATCATGGCAAAATCAGAATAAAGCGCACTAAAGCTCAGTAAATTCAGTGTAAGAGTACAGTATAGAGTAGTGAAACTCAGTTCTAAATTCTGGTAAAAGCAGGGCTGGGCATAGAGAGGGAGGGGAAGAGTGACTCAAACTGGAGAATCATGGGCATACAAACTTCATAACATACGTGAGGCGACACAAAAAACCCCTCTGGCAATGGAGAAATAGCCAAGAAGCCTTAATGGGAACTGGGAACACAGGGCTTTCTAAAGCTCTCGGAGCAAAAACAACAGTGGCAAAGCCCTCTGGCTCCTTCTCGGATATCTCAGCTCACCTCGTGGTCCGGGGGCAGGGTTATATTTGGTGTCACATAAACCAGAGCTCTGGGGCAGCCTGGGAGCAGCCTGTTGAAAAGGAGAGGGCGAGGGTTAGGGTTAGGGCACTGGGCAGGGCTGTGTACTACTACTACTAATAATTGCTTACACTTATATAGCGCTTTCCTGGACACTCCACTCAGAGTGCTTTACAAGTAATGGGGATCCCCTCCACCACCACCAATGTGCAGCCCCACCTGGATGATGCGACGGCAGACATAGTGCGCCAGAACGCTCCCCACATACCAGCTCTCAGTGGGGAGGACAACAGAGTGATGAAGCCAGTTCAGAGATGAGGATTATTAGGAGGCCATGATTGGGAAGGGCCAATGGGAAATTTGGCCAGGACGGTGGGGTTGCACCCCTACTCTTTTCGAGAAACTCTCTGGGATTTTTAATGACCACAGAGAGTCAGGACCTCGGTTTTACATCTCATCCGAAGAACAGCACCTTTTTACAGTTTAGTATCCTCGTCACTATACTGGGGCATTAGGACCCACATGGACCACAGGGTGAGCGGCCCCTACTGGCCCCACTAACACCTCTTCCAGCAGCAGCCTCAGCTTTCCCTGGAGGTCTCCCCTCCAGGTACTGACCAGGATCCCACCTGCAGAGCTTCAGCGGGCTGCTAGCACTGCACTCTGCACTCATTCCCTTGTCCTTCTCCTGCTGGCTGTGCTTGAATTTAAGCTTCAATTTAAGACCTGAACCAGGCTCCTGCTATGTTCTTCTGCAGAGATATAACAAATGTTTAAGGGGGAGGATATTCCAGGCGGACATTGTCTATATATGCCAATGTTGTTAAGTGGTCCCCACTCTGTGTGCTGAGTGACACTGCTCTACTCTGATTTTCAACCCTATGAAGACTACTTCCACTCAGGCCAGATGGTGATAGAGGGACAGTAACTGGAATAAGCTGCCAGAGCTCTGGTGGTACAGTGGCCCAGCACTTCGCATTGCTGGCTCACAGTGCTGGAGCCCTGGGTTCAGTTCAGTATCTGGGGTGCAATCAGTTTGGAGTCTGTATGTTCTCCCCATGTTGGCCTGGGTTTCCTCCAGGTGCTCTGGTGTCCTTCCACCATCCAAAGACATGCTGGTGGGTTAAGTGGCATCTGGGGAAATCGGCCCTAGTGAGAGTGTGTTTGTGTCCGTCTGCCCTGCGATGGACTGGTGTCCCATCCAGGGTGTACCCCGCCTTGTGCCCGTTGCTTGCCGGGATAGGCTCTGGCTCCCCTGCAACTCTAAACTGGAAGAAGTGGTGAGAAACTGGATGGAGGGATGTTAGGGGTGTGGACTGCGGACTGGGAGGTACTTCAGTCCATTTGCTCCAGCAAAATGCCCCGCTGTATTAATGGGTCTTGAGGTAATTGCTGTAAAGATCTGCTCCAAGTGAGGGACAAGGGACAGTGTGCAGTGAGGGCATTGATTTATTTTCTGCAGGACTGCATTTTTCAACTGGAACTCGATAACCTTCCCCCCTCTTTTTTAATTAACCTTTCCATGGGAAGTGCCGGCTTAATTAATTAACAGGGTCTGATTCTCCGTTTAAGCAAATCCCTTTCTGAAATCAGCAAGAATTTAATGCTGTTTTTGCCTTTAAGGAAAATAGTTAGAAACAAACAAAAACTGACTAATGGCACATTTACTGTCCGCACTCCACCCAGTCAATTGTCCTTTTGACCCTTAGATTTCTTATTAGTCTCATCAAAGATACACTGCCCTTCTGTGCAGGACTTCTGTGAAAATGTGTTTGAATGCAACCCCCCTTTGTACTGCTGTGCCCCTACCCTGATCTACAGCAACTGCAGGCCAGCCCCTAGGCCAGTGAGCCCAAGCCCGCAGGCCAGCTGGAATGGAAAGTTTCTATCTTTAAGAACCACAGGTGTAGGATAGAAACGGCTCTGTAGAGACTCTCTCACTCATACACACGGGCACAGTCACATTCACGTTAACTCGGACACGCTGACACTGATACTGGCTCTGCACCACTGGCGCTGGCATGGCTGACAGACTGACGGTACAGGCAACGCTCATATTGATTTTCTGACACTCCCGGACTAACGCACTGACTGGCCTTGACACATCGAGACAGTGACCACCCGATGCCCCATTTCTCCAGTGGGCGCCCAGGCAGCCACACCACACAATGGCTCCTGAGTGGGTCTGTCAGGACGCCACTGGCAGCTTCATCAGCTCATTCCAGGTGTGCAGTACCTGCCCACACGGCCCCCAGCTGTTGCCTGAAGCCCAGCGTTTTAAAGGACCGCAGGAGAACCATGTGCTGCAGAGTAACCTGTATGTCCTGCAGCGCTTCAGTCCCGAGCTGTGCCTTTCCTTAAAAAAGTCCTTTCCAATTACAAAATCAGCCAGAGGGATGCAGTCATTAGTCACTGCTCACTGAAAGACTTCATGCGGTCTGAACAATACTATGGCTACTCCGTGTTTTATATCTGTTTGTCTTCAAGCTGCTTATCTGTTTTTCCTTTCTGACACTTCTGTACATTAACAATGAAGAATTGCACTGCCATATTGCCTTACTTACTAGATACAAACCTAGCACTTAGATTCGACATCATCAAGGGTTGTGTTTTTGTGAGAAAATGTGGGCAGCACTGCTGCTTCTTCTTCTGTTCTCGGCCCTCCAGCGTGACTTATTGTTTGCCAGCCCTGCTCAGAGATCACATGAGGGCTCTAAAAGGGGACAGTCACCAGTGAC